GAAGGGTTCAGTGAATGCACATATGAAACTGGTGGGTTCGGTATGTCAAAAAAGGTTAAGAACCACTGCTTTAAGGCGATCGCTCAAAGTCAGTCTAATCTATCACAGTCTTTCAAGATTCAGCAGGATTCATCGTTAGCCTGTGTAAGCAGAACAATTTAATCGCATCAAGTCCCCACTTCTTCCTTTTTTTTTTGTGTCATTCCTCATTTTTCTCCATGTATGTTTTCTTCTCTCTCTCCCTTCTTGTGTCTTCCATTATTCATGTTTCATTTCCTCCATGTCCTTCCAGTTTCAGATTTTTCCCTGTGACGTTAACAGCCTGACTATTGCCTATCAAGTGATAGTGTATTGCAATTGCTGTTAAAAACATTTGTTTGGTTGTTTCAGATGTTCTGGTTTAGTTTTTGAAAAGCAGTATTGATTATTTAAATATTTTAATAGTCCAAAACAAAAAAAAAGACAAATCCACAAAGATAATATTTATTTTTATACAAGCAACATAGAAAAGAAAAATGTTATTTTTCAGGAGCTTTTTCTGGACCGTCTTCTGGTGATTTGGAGGAGAATCTCTCCATTAGCGACTTCCATAAACCCTTCTTTTCCTCATCCATGCTCTGTTGCATACTGCCTGTAAAACAATTATTAAATAAGGTGTAAAAATACATCACTGTTTTTTCAGGGTCATTTTATTGTAACTGGTTAAGAGCAATGATGACGCTGCACATTGTAATCAGAGTGCATACCTGACAAAAGTACTCGACACTCCTCCACTGTAACTCCTGTAAAACTTGTGTCTCTCACACGAGGAAACTAAAACACACAAACATATTTACATTCTATACAACAAAGCTTCCTGCTACATTTTTCTGTATTCTGCACAATTTCTACTTATTAGGAGCTGAATGTGAAATTTTCAGGCTACACACATGACATATTTTCATTCTAGTTGGTTTACTTTCTTTGGACAAACACTGGCAACACAAAGTACATGACACTCTATGCATTATACATGTGGTATTTGTGGTTAGAATAGATTTTAAAAGTGGAGGTTCTTTACAGATTAACCTAGTTTAGCCTTCACTTTAAATAAAACATGTTTTACTATCATCTTCACAGTTGCAGAAGTATTTATTTACTTTTCACATTATGTCACGTTACAACCACTAACTTCATTTTATTTTACTCGGATTTTATGTGACTGAACAACAAAAAGTAGTTCAGAATTAAGTGAAAGGAAAATAATAATATGGTTTGCATTTAACACAAAAAATCTGAAAGGTGTGACATGCATTTGCATGCAGACTTTCTCCGTCAACACTTTGTATCGTTACCATGACAAAAAAAGTCAATAAAATAGATTTCATTTGTGGCTATTATAAATCAAAATGTGCAAACGTTCAAGAAGCATAAATCTTTTTGTGAAACATTGTAGAGCAAAAGAAGTGGATTACTGGCCAAGCTGTGATAAATCATAAACGAATCAGGTTTTCATCAATGCAGTTCATTTGGATGCATACTTACCCGCTGTCTGTATACATTTCCATTGATGCGAGCCAAACTTTCATACATTTGGTCACATTTCTCGGGATCTGCAAGCTGGAGACGTATGACAAGAAGAAGCAAAATGTGTTATTTATATGTCAAGGAGCATGCACAACAACTTTATTTACCTTTTACAAATTAGTAATTAATCAAGTTGCTAAAGTTTGACAAACTTGTTTGGAATTATATCCCCCCCCGCCCCCCAAAAAAATTTATGAATAACTAGTGATGTCTAAGATGAGTGTTTTCTATATTTATGCTAAATTTGTGTTATGTGCATAATTCTACTTCTTCTATAACAACTGCAAAGAACTGGAGTCAGTATTACTTAAATATATAAATGTAAAGTAGTCAGAAATTAATCTAGAGCAGATGAACTGAATAGGTTTTTCCTGGCCAATACCAACATCCGGTTTCCATTAAGGTCTGACCTGCTGGTTTGAGTTAGTAAGTATTTTGAGTTTTATTTCCAAGGATTTTAGCTCAATAAAGAGAAAAATATGAGCTATATTGTTATTTTTAATAAACAAACTGCCTTAGTTTGAGGCTATGTGTCTAAAGGATGAAACTAGTGAGTTATTTTCATGAACAGTGAGAAACCTGGTTTTTCAGTATCTGACTTGATTATCACCAAGAATGGTCAATCAAAGAATAGCATCCAGTTAATTGGTTCATCTAGGGTAACACCTGAGCAAAAGTAATTTTAAAAATAGTTGCTGGGGGTGGGGGGATTTCCCCTATTTCTATAAAGTCGAACTTCTGTTATCTGTTTTTGCAGCCGGATTATTAGCAGTGCTGTCAGAGTAATAATAAAGAAGCTCCCCCAGGTATCAACAACTAATGCTAAAAACAAGGGCGTCCTCTGTTAGCGCTGATCGATGGAGCCGTGTGCGTGACCTTCTACCTGCGTGTTTTCACCCTCGCGGAACGCAGAAGCCACTCTCTGCCCCAGAAATGTCCCCAGATCCCGTGCCTTCTTGGTCTTGTCTCGGGGCCATTCCTCACACAGTTTAAGAAACCGACGGTACCTGGTGGCAGACATCTTTGGTCATGTAATATTATATTGACACGAGCGGAGATTAATCCTCTCGGGCACCCGTATTTGTGCCACAACTAAATTCGTCCCCTCTCCCAAATGCCTACGCTGGTTCCGTCTTCGCTCCTCGCTGCCACCTTCTGCTAGCACGATGAGCGGTTCAAACGCGAAAGGGAGCTTTCCATCCCGGGTGTCTGAGTGGATCAGCTCGACGTATCGCTTTGCGACAGACAGAAACGACTTTAGGAGGTGAGAAGTGTGTTATTTTGTGGTAATTTTGTGCTGAGTTTTACTGTGCCGCTAGCGTTAGCTCATGCTGCTGGATTTGTCCTTGTGCCGCTCACTGATGCTAATGCTAGTCAGCTAAAGCATGTTATTTACACGTACGGGCTTGTCATTTTTATGTATTCCATGTGATATGTGTAATTTTTTATATAATATCCATTCCTCCGTTAACTCTCGGGAACTTATGATGCCTAAACTCTTTTCACTTGGTATGTATGAACTAAACTAGCAAACCCCCTGGGTTTCTGATCTTCAGGGGGATATATTGGATAACAAGTGATCACATTATCCCTAGAAATAATGTGGTAGGAGCCAGAGAAGGAAGTTTTAGACTTAGCCTCCGGGTTCTCGATCCAGTCAAACTAAAGTAGTCCATAATGGCTTACACGTAGTTTCTTTAAACAGAAATACACCACAGCAACAAAAACGGTAAACATTTCTTATTTTGCTTCTTTCTTTGTTTTCTTCATTTCAGGAATCTTCTGGTTAACCTGGGTTTGTTTGCCGCCGGAGTCTGGGTGGCTAGAAATCTCTCAGATTTCGACTTGATGTCTCCTCAGCCGGTGACTTAACCTGCTGATCTTGATCAAAAACAGGATGATTGTAAGACATATTTCTGTATTACGGAAAAGTTTACAGTTATTCTGAAACATTGGCAGAAAATGTAGAAGCAATATATTTACTTAAAAAAGTTCTTTGTGACTAAAGTGCTGGTTTTGCCCCTTTTTTAGGAATCTTGGACCAACAAAGAAGAAGTGAGGGACATGATGAAATACTTGGAAAACAAAGTGTTTTTGTTTACATGACATTTTTTTCCCCCCTCCTATGTACACAAGTGCACATGCGTCATCTCTATTTTCTTTGAGGTACAGATTGAATTTGCCCCAAACTCTCCCGCAAAAGACTTTATTTTAATTATTTTATCTCAACCATGCCAGTCGAGGACCTCTTTGTCTCTGCAGCCCGTAACTCTCTGCGTTCTGGTAGAAAGAGTCTCTCCGTGGCTCAAAGTCTGAATCTTGCTGCTCAGGTCTTGACTGTGGATCTGGGGCTGAAGCCTGCTCTCCTGTACGACAGCAACGCCGCCTGCGCCGAACAGCTCCAGCGCTATCTGAGCCGCCTGCGGTCTCTCCAGCTCGTGTCTCGATCCCTCCTCACGCTGGATTTAAACGGAAACGGTCTCATTATCAACGCAGATGCCCTCAGATCTAATTTAGAGAAGACGCTTTGTGGCGGCGGTCCGCCCGTTGTAAATGTCTCTGCGTCTTTGGAGAAGCCCGCCGTCTCTGATGCTCAGAGGGGACGGCTGACGGGTGAGGTGGCAGATTTTCTGCTCCTTCTGGAGGAGTTTCGGCGACACGACGAGGCTGATAAACCTCTTTATGTTGGGGAGAAATCTGACGATTGGAACCTGTGCACCATATTTGGTCTCTTACTGGGTTACCCGGTCACCTACTGGTTTGATCAGGCCAGGAGCTTTGAAAACTGTCTGTCCATGACGCCGCTGGTGGTGGCTACAGCATCGGCGGCATGGCAGACGGACGGCAACACTCACAGGTTCTGTCTGTACTCCTTCAGCGTTCCCGCCGCTCTGCAGGAGGAGACGAGGCCCAAGCTGGAGAACTGGAGGCTCAGGCTGCAGGAGAGATTTGAGCAGCAAAGCATCATGAAGGACCTCAGTATCAGTCAGTCCACAGTCACTCTTCCCTCTGTCTGTTTGTGATTCAATAACAAAGTTAGGTTTAAAATTAAATAAAATGCTCTTGAATCTGATGTGGGTTTTTTTATGTCTTTTTTTTTTTTTAAACACAATTTGAGAACATTTTAGATGCCATAAAAATCCATAACTTAGCTTTTAAACAGAAGCCACTTTTAAATGTTTCATTCAAGCTAGCTATTGGTCAATGAAATATTCTACTATTCCAATGTAACATTTTGGATTTCAGTGTTTTTTTGTATTGACTATTTGTAGTAATCTCAGAACTCTATATTTGAAAGCAGTGGAAACAAACTAAGTAGTACGCTTTAAATGTTAAAGGAATTTAAAATCTTTAATTGCACTGTGACAGCAGTTGCATTTTAATTATTGCATTTCGCAAACAAGTATTCGTACTTCTGCAGCTACTTGCTCTTCTCCAAATATCTTTCAGTAAAAGTCACTTTAGATCAAAACAGTTGCATTTTAGAGCAGCACCTCTAAAGAACTGTGAACCATCTGAGAGGATGTGACACAGATCCTCGTCATGTTCAGCTGAAAGTCAAACAAACAAACCAAACACAGTTTGAGCCTTCCCGTTACAAGTTGGACTTCTAAAACCGTTTTTTTTCCCCGCAGCAGTGTGGAAAGTGCTAACAGGACAGCAGTTCTCGCCGTCTAGTCGGTCCTTTCATATCACCTCATTCTGATGGTGACTTACTAATGTCTGAGTTAGTTCAGTCAGCAGAGCAGAGATGACTCTAAACCGGTCCGTGGGGTCAGAGGGGCTGGATGACTGACAGAACGTCACCACAGCGGCCCCTCACTTTCAGCTCTGCCAGGTGATCTGCTCTGGTGGGTCCGATGTTCAGGATGGCGATCGGCATCTTCTTGTCGCTCGCTGCCAGTAGAACCCTGTATCCTGAGTACACCTGCGGAGCCACAGAGGATGGAACTTATAGCTGAACGGAAAACGCAGCCGAAAACACAAATTGGTTGCTTTTCTATACCTGCAGTGATGAGCCGATAACCAGCACTGCGTCTGCCTCTGCCAGTCTCTCCTGCACGAACTGCACCGTCGCTTTGGCCACCGTGTCTCCAAAAAACGTAACCTCTGGCTTCAGTATCCCCCCACACTGCTCACAGGACGGGACCCTGAAGTTCAGGACCTGCTCGTCCTCTAAGAAGACGTCGCCATCCGGAGCCACGGCTCCTGCCTGGGCGCTCCAATCCGGGTTTAATGAGACAAAGCGCCTCTGCAGCTCCTCCCGCGCCGTGATGCTGCCACAGCCAAGACATGTTACCCTGAGAACACATGAAACACAATCCCTGGAAAGAGTGGGAATTTTTCTTATGATTGAACATAGAGTTGAGGCTTTTCAACATATTTTACTAAAGTCTAAAAAGTAGGACTTGCCTTTGTATTTGGCACCCTTTAATCTGTTACTCCCTAAATAAAATCCTGTGCAACCAATCTCAATCAAGTCATAGTAAGTAAAAAAAAAAAGTCCACTTGTTAACTTTTATGTTAGGACTAAGTCATAAAACAACATATCAAGTTTTTACCACCTCACAGAGCTCTGTTCAATCAATCCATCACCAAAGAAAGGGCATTCAGGTTTGGCGAAATTGCAAACCTCAATGTCTGCATAAACTGACAGGCCAGGCAAGGAGAGCTTTTCTGAATAATAGTCAGCCTTGCAGAGATGTACAACTCAGATGGAAGAATGTGTCTTCATGGAAGGGTCAATAGTAAAAGAAAAGCCAAAAGAAGTTCTGTTTGTAGTTTGTCACAAATCATCTGGGGTCACAATATGTGGAAGAGGATCCTCTGCTCACCTGAGGCCAAAATTGAACTTTGGCCTAAATACAAAATGAAATTTCAGATAGCCAACAACCTGAACACCGTTTCAGTTTTGAAGCTCTGTGGCATAAGAGATCTGTTAGGTTTGTCTGAGTTAATATTTTCTTTTGGTCTGCCAAAATATCTATAATCTTATGAAATTTGCTTTTGATGGATTTTTGAAAAAAATAAATAAAAAAATAAAATAAATATATATATATATATACACACACACACACACACATAAATATGTGTGTGTGTGTCCTTGTGCCTCATGATCCCTGAGACTTACCTTTTCAAGGCAATAGGCAATTAAGAACTGTAAGAACTGACATGCATACCTCATTTTATCAGTTAACATAACCATATATTTTGCATCATAGTTGTTATATAGAATTCCACCCAGCTCCATTTCTTATGGGACCCTGCCCACCTTGGGTCACTCAGCCTTCCTCACCTGTGGGCGCAGCCGTGGAGCTCCGTAATCCGTGTCTGTCCTGCCTTGGAGTGGAGGGCGTCCACATTTTGGGTGACGAGCCAGTGCAGCTTCCCCTTCTCCTCCCAGCTCCGCAGAGCCCGGTGGGCACAGTTGGGCTGATGGGAGGAGAACTGCGGCCACCCGACGAAGTTTCTGGCCCAGTATCTCTGTCGGGACTTGGCGCTGCGGGTAAACTCCGTGTGCTGCATCGGTCTCCTGTCGGTGCGGGCGTACAACCCGACACCCTCCGAGCGGTAATCCGGGATGCCCGACTCTGTAGACAGACCCGCTCCGGTGACCACGAACAACCGCCTGGATCGGGACACAAAGTCCTGCAGCAGCTCCAGAGAGCGGGCATCGGCGGTGCTGCAAGCGGGGACGAAATTCAGCTTCCCCGCAGGGACAGAGGAGAATGTCCGGACAGGAGCGGGGAGAGACGGGAAGAGGCGCAGCGGCAGCCGCATCTGAACGAGCGCACGTTTTAAAAAGTTTAAGACGACAAAGTTTAAACAAGCAACACGCAAATATTTATACGGTTACTAACTTTACCTTTTTAAAGAGTAAAGTTACCACAGTAACCGGTAGGACATAGCTTTGTTAGGTAACTTGTCAAACCAGAACCAGCTGATATAACATGGAAACCAGATGCAAACACAGGAAGTACCCATTTCAATGTAACACCAAACAGCCGCATAGGAGTCTGGGAGTGGTAGTTAGGGATAGAGTTTTTGATTTGTTGAAAAGGCAATTGAGATTTTCAATGAGAAAAATCTGACTTTAACATAATACAGAAAAAGAATGATTTGCTATGATTGAGTGAAAAGAAACTTCTTGGTGGGAAAACACAAAATCGAGACGGTTTTTGTTGTCACAAGGTTTGGAATCGTCTCAGGAAGAATTTTGAACCATTCCTTATGGCAGAAACTCTAAGTCCTTGGGGTTTCTTGGCAGATTTTCCAACAACCTGTGCCACTTCATCACTTTGATGTCCTTCTCCTTTAACCCTTCTTTGTTGTCTTGGCAGTATTTGTCATCCATATATATACATATATGCATGTATATTTTCTCACCCTTTTCAGAAGACATGACCCAAAGCATAATACTTTCACCTCCTTGCTTGAGCATATTTATGCATATTTTTGTTAATTTACTACAACCACTTTTTTTTTTTTTTTTTTACAATTAATTAAAATCTTTGAAATTATTTTAGGACTTAGGACAGTGAGGCCATGAGCCCAGTTTTGCTCTAACCCCACCATCAAATTTTAAAAATTACATTTTATTGCCCTTTAATTTATAGACTTCTTGTTTGGCTTCTATATGTGAATTATTTGGGAGCTTTACAAACAAATGTTTGTAAAACATTTGTTTGTAAAACTACTGAGAGTAAATTGAGAGTAAACACATCTCTCCACAGGAGAAATGTATTTACTAAGAAGATCAATGTCATACATTTTGTTATATATCTATAGAGAAGCTCTCACAATAATTCAATTCAAAAAGCCACATCTTTTGTTTTGCTGTAAACATTTGCTGTGTTGGCTTTACATGTTTATTAAATATATGCATGTATATTTTCTGCTTTAGAACACAAAGATGAATAATTTCATTTAAGTTAGAAAATATCCCATTATGAAAGCATAAGTTTCAGTTCAGTCATGTGATGATTTCTAGTCTTTATTAACCCATCATTCGTATGGATGAAGAACTAAATATCTAAGAAACCGAGGAAACCACGATGCCATTTTACATTTCCTTCTTT